GGGCCGCCGCGTTTCTTACCAACAATCCCATTTCTCACCCGGCTAGTCCATCCTAATGATGTCCGAATAAGGTATTCTATGGTACGGTTAAAGGATTTGACTGAGAAGAGTTTGGTTCCCGGCTTTGCCACTTCTTATTTCAACCTCCTGGTGCCTTTCTAGAATTCTCAGTGGTTGTGCTTTCTAACGGAATTCGGATGCACAGCAACTCGGTCCCCCGGGTAACTCGGGAATTCCTCGCAGGGAAGTCATGGAGATGCCGAGCTGAAGACAGGGCGCAGACAAAACCGAGGCACTCTTCTCAAACAAGCTAGATGGCACTTAGTAAAAGAACGCAAGTGATGGAAGCCCGAGTAAGCTATCTTGTCTTCTTGGCTTCAAAAAAAAAAGACCATTTCAAGGGTAGAGCGGGGTACTGTGAGTAAATAGTGCTGCACCGCCTCAATATGTACGTATTCCTAGAGTACGCGTAAAAGAAGAAAAAAACGTCTTGGAAGCAGAGAAACAAAGAAAGAGAAGGAGAAAGAGAGGCTCAAGATGAGGGTTTGACAGAGGAATGTTCCAAATTCTGTCGCACATGATGGATAGCTTACGTGCGTTGCTGCGGCTTAGACCCTGGCAGTGGGAAGATCAGTTCAGGACAAGGCTTCGCCGCTGCTTTCGTCATTGGCGGGGGTCCCCGGGTCCGAGAACAGCAACTTCACTGTTCTTACAAACGTCGCTCGGGAACCCGCTTCTCCGTGTTCACTCACTCCATCACTTTACTCCTCATCCTCTTCATCTTTACACAGTGTACCACCCTTTTGCCAATTTTTCAAAAGATACCGAATAGCTCGCTTCCCCATAGTTTTATTACCACACTACCACATAGATACAGACATCATGAGTTGGAAAGGATTTCAGCGAGGTGTCGTGAGGGTGCGTAACCTTGTTTTCATTCTCGGTCGCTCTGGCCCCCGTGAGCTCTATTTGGGAAAACAGAACTGACTGGGAGTTATTTCGCAGGCACCTCAATCCATTAAGCAGAAGTTCAATATGGTAAGGCGCATCAAGACACTTTTCACATACATGCATGGGCACCATAATGGTTTGAAACTATGCTCACAGGAACTCTGGGGGTTCTAGGGAGAAATTACGAAGGATCCTGTATATCAAGACGCGGAAAGGCGTTTTGCGGAGCTCGAAAAGGTATGTTGTATGATTTCACAAGCATGCAGTGGATGGTGCTGAGGTGTGCGGGGGTGTTATAGGAAACAAAGAAGCTCCATGACGAGTCAAAGAAGTAAGTTAGGTAGTTTCTATATAATCCGAACATTGCTAACTAGTGTGTAGATATTTTGATGCGATAAACGGTACTGATCGTACGGGCAAATAATTGAAGTTGATTACCCTACTAATAATAATATAGGCATGCTGGATCATCAAATCGAATTCTCAAAATCTATAGCTGAAATATACAAGCCTATCTCTGGGCGAATGTCCGACCCAGACTCTATGAAGATCGAAGGTAATCCAGAAGGTATTCGCGCCTGCGAAGAATATGAAGCCATCGTACACGATCTTAAGTCCACGCTGGCGCCTGAGCTTGAGATGATCGAGACCCGAGTTATTCGCCCCGCCGATGAGTTGACGGAGATCATCAAATTGATTCGAAAGGTGGCTTCGAAGCGCGATCATAAGCAGTTGGATTACGACCGACACCGGGCATCTTTGAAGAAGCTTCAGGACAAGAAAGATAAAACGCTCAAAGATGAAAAGGCATTATATAAGGCAGAAAACGACGTCGAATTGGCGACCCAGGAATTTAATTACTACAATGATCTACTCAAAGCCGAACTTCCGAAGCTCTTTGCGCTTGAGAGAGAGTTTATTCGACCGCTATTTCAGAGCTTTTATTACATGCAACTAAATGTTTTCTACACTCTGCACGAGAGAATGCAGGGTATTAATATTGGCTACTTCGATCTAACCCTCGAGGTAGAGGAAGCTTTCAATAAGAAGCGCGGGGATGTGCAGGAACGGGCCGAGGCTCTTACGATTGTACATTTCAAGACGACCGGAGGGCGCACAAAACTAAACGCTAAGTTCAACAAATTTGGAAACAAATCCGACAGCGGTAGCATTACGGGCGGACGACGAACAGCCTCTCTAGATATCACTCGCCCCTCCGGCGATGGCGAAACCAACACCCCCCCGCCACCATACACCTCCACCGGGGTTCCTGATACATCTATGGAGAAGGGAGGCCTTTTAAGCCCTGGTGTAACCGGCGTTGGAAGGAGCAATTCCACGGGTACAAACTACTCTATAGCGGCGAAAAAGAAGCCTGCGCCGCCGCCACCTCGACCAAAGCCGAAGAGTCTTAGTGCAAATGTTGAAAGGGCGACCGCTCTTTACGATTTTGAAGCACAAGCGGAAGGTGATTTATCTTTCAGCGCTGGGGACATCATCGAAATTGTGCAAAGGACAAATAACGAAAACGAGTGGTGGACGGGGAAACTACACGGGCGACAGGGTCAATTCCCAGGAAATTATGTCAGGGTGAACTAAGGGGACGAGGGAGGTCTGGGGAACATGATTGTTGTGATATGGGTGGTTCAACACAAGTTCCAAGCATCAACTTGATTTATCTTCTTTCCTTGACTCTAGACATTCGTTGCACAAAGGTAGCAGGAGCCATAAGCTGTTTTTTCTCTCTTTTTTTCTCGATTGGTTCTTATTATTTTTGGTTTGAGGATTTCGCAGTACTTTTCTCATTTTTTTCACCATAGGCTGGGTGTTGCTCCCTGTCCTTTACTTATCACTTCTTTTCTCTGTATGTATTAGATTCTACCGTGAGCGTATTCGGGGGTTTTATAAACTATTTTTTATAATTCAAGATCATTTCATCTTGTCAGGCACCACCAAGTGACGTCATTATATGCACAAGGGTTTAGGGTTTGACAGTCTGCGCCAAGACTTTGGACCCTTAAATGAATTTTTTTTCGTCGCCCATCATAAAATCACAAAACAACACGATAGGAATTGACAGACTCGACAGCAGCAACAACCCGAGTGCTACACGCCATACAAGGCGATGAGCATCTTTATGTGTGCTGTAACACATCATATAGGTAAGACTACAATTTCCCTAATACGAACCCCCAATTCCCTTCGCTTCCCCCTTTTCGATGATGAGATCTTGCAAATACATGATAGGAAGAGTCTTAGTGTCTCGACACTTTAAGGGGAGCCTCGAAAACTCTCTGGTCGGGGACACGATGACGATGTAGCAGGGGTACTGAAAGTTTTTATTCACTTAGTTATATATTTTTTTATAGAATATTGTTTTGGAATTTCAACTTTGGTATTAAGGGTACTAACATATGGGCGTCAGAATAGGAATTAAATTGACCAGTATGTGCCGTAGACATTCCCAGCAGCGTGAGTTTATATGTGGTGAGCGGGCACATGCGGACATATTCCATCACAGCCTGGTAATACAGCTGGGCGGGCTTATGCAAGGATGTTAATCTGAGCAGTCAGAAGCCTGGTGCGTATTCCATGCGGGCACATGTGAGGATGTTCAGAGTTGTTAGCATGCATGCCAACGGCATTCTTGACGGTCGTTGTGACCATTACGGGTCTGAAACACGACATGGATGGAATCCTCCTTGACTTAGTGCTTAGAGCAGACCGTGATGTACAATAATTAGGATTTAGTTAGTTTTGAAAAAAATAATATCAATATTCAAACAAAGCAAAGTAGAGATCCTTTATCATTACAACACATACAGCATATCATGTGGTTCATTCCACAGTTTATCACAAGAGATGAAGAAAGACAGAAAGTGAGAGGAAATAAGATACGGACATTCCCGGAACAGTTAGAAATGACTCGACGTATCTTTGACACGTACAACTCGGGTTTGAGATCGAGAAAAACCACATTCCGCGCTGTAGAAAATACCCCATAAAAATCTGCCGTTCCCTTCCCTGCATACAGGTTCGAGTAAGTACTGCTACCTACCTAGTCTTCTTCAACAACACGATAAGACGGCTTTCTCGGACACATTGATCGAAGATCGGACGAAAAAATCCCAACGATGGTCCGATCTCGCTATTTAAGGACTCTTCATGTTTTACCAGGGTGGGGGTCAAGGCCACAGTTTTCCATCCGCAAATGTTCAATTGGAAGTTCCAGTATGGTGGGTATCATCATCTCACGCTGCTTTTGTCCTCACCAACCTAGCACGATTTGCTGGTCACACTGTGATCCTGTGAATGGGACAAATATATGGGGGTATGTAAAACATATATATTCCCTTTCGGATAAATTGAGCTGCAAGAGATCGATTCACATCTCCATGTACGTTGCCAATGCCAATATCAATGTCGTGGCATTAGGGATTGATATATGAAAACCATGAGATTGGGAGATTTGTTGTGATGAGTGGATTTTGCCCCCCGATTCATCGTTCTACATCTCGGAGGCTCAGCCAGCCTGGTCAATCTAATTCTGTGGTTAACAGCTTGGAGTGATATATCACCCAACCCAAGAGAACTGCATGTCCATCTCCTTTAGAGCACCGGTCCAAACCATGTCTGCATAAGCCCGCTTTAGAAAAGAGCTACATAAGTAGAGGCTCCAATCTAATCCATCTAGGGTAGAGTAGAGTAATCATTCGTGGATAAGTTTAATAGACATGCCACGTGCTTGGTCATAGTCTCATGGGGTTCAGATATTTAGTAACAGATCATCAAGATAAGATAATACCTCGTGATGTAGGACATAGGTATTGGCCTTGGCGACTTACCACTTGTGTTCGAGTAACCTCACGACCAGCACCATCGTTCGTTCGGCTTCAGCCTCGTGGAGATAAATTTCTACTTCTGGTTTGCTGCAGCCGGAGCTCACCAACGGTATCGTTTTTTTCGGTTATCGAGCTCCACCCTGTTACTACGAACTACTAGACTTCTATGGGCCGATAGGACCCCACCTCCCCACGTTAACTATCAAGATGGCTACATCGCCTGTAGGGACCCCCTTGAACCCCCAGGTTCAGCAGTGGATACATAGAGTTATACAGCCCGTATGTTTCATCTTTCTTCTAGAGCTCTTGAAGCTCCTGCACTAACTGTAAACCTCACAGGAATATCACGACACACATCTGACCTACCACAATGTCGCCGCAACTCTTTACCAGTTTCCGACATTATCGCCTCGTACAGATGTTTATAGTAAGTCTCTGGCTAGCCTCTAATACAAAATCCTTATCGTCGGCTAATTTATGATTAAAATAAATAGCCCACGAAGATGGTCGTTCTCAATTGCTTCTCAATCTTGTTGGAACATTCCCAGTCACTTTCCGCGGCGCTACATATCAAATTCCACTGAAGATATGGCTACTACACGAGTACCCTAAGCAGCCGCCGATGGTGTTTGTAAATCCAACAAGGGATATGCTCATCCGCCCAGGAAACCATGTCGACCCGAGCGGACGGTGCTATCACCCATATTTGGCCAATTGGGTCAACTACTCTGATGTGTGTTTGGAAACGAATCTTATTCTGATCATTACCAATATCAGTGCTGACTGGGATAGAGATCAACTATCGTAGATCTCCTGGAAGTCCTACGCCAGGTATTCGGTAGAGAACCACCTGTATATGCAAGGCAACAGCAGAACACGCCAGGACCTCAGACTAGAAACGAAACACCACCCCCATTGCCGCCGCTACCCCCCGGGCTTGGAAGAACAAACTCACCAGCTACCCCCCCGAATCATGCGCAAGCTGCTGTTCCTCCTCCATTGCCGCCATTGCCGAGGGAGCTTTCTGGGGGTACGCCCTCAGTGCAACAGCAGCAGCAGGTGAGCCATGCAGGATACCAAAACCAGCATCAACAATCACCTCCGCCGATACCTCCGCATCCCCAACCCCAGCAACTATATGTTCATCCGCAACCGCAGCAACAACACCAACAACAAGGCTGGCCTAGAAATGAGAGCCCAAGGGGCGGTTCTCTCCCTAGTTATCAAGATCAAGGCCCTCCTCCACCACCTCTACCTCCAGCCCCTCATCGGTCAGAGGAATCATCGCCAGTCCCCCAGCAACAGCAGCCGTTACAGTACAACCGCGCCCATGCACCAACTCCATATCATCACCCACAGACATATCACCAAATAGCCCCCCCGCCAAATTCCCCAGGCTCAGGCCCAGCTCTATCTGCACGCTCAACTCCACCGCCCCATCAAAATGTCACGCCATCTAGCCGTTTCCCTAGCATCCCATCTGTACGACCAGTATCATTCAACGGATTTCCCCATTCCCCCCACCCTCAGAGTTATTCGATGCCTCAGCAGCAACAGCAGCAACAACAGCAGCAACCTCAACCTCATATACCCCCAAAGCGACCAGAAGCAATCGATATTATGTCCCTTCCGCCTACTGAGATAGCACCTCTGGTGCCTTCCGCCGCGCCGCCACCTCTTCCTCCTAACCCTGAAAAGGATCGTCTTATACAAGAGATCACAAAGGCACTACAAGCACGAGCCGAAGCGCACCATGCGAAGATGCACGTATCACTTGAGCAGGCTGCCGCTCAATGCGAAGCTATACTAAGAGCAGAGTCAAACATGGAAAGAGAGAGAGCAGAACTGGCAAGGATCATGGAGCTATGCGATAAAGATGCGGATATATTGAAAGAGCGTATAACAATGGCAGGTGAAGTTATCAAGGACGCCGAGTCGAGGGAATTGCCCGGGGTTGATACGGTCGTGGTCGCACCGACGGTTGTGCACACTCAGTACGTTATGGATGGACAAGCCTTGCAAGTGAAAATTACTGATAATGATTCCTTTAGGCTATATGATCTTGTAACGGAAGACATGGCGATTGAAGACACGATATATGTTCTTGGGAAAGCCTTGGACAAGGAAAGGATTTCATTGGACGTATTTTTAAAGGTTCTTTGCCATGGTTTACCCTGCATGTCTAGTAAAGAGAGCTAATTAGTGGAAAACAGCACACACGAACATTGGCTCGGGAGCAATTTAACCTACGAGCGCTTGTAAAGAAGATTACTAGGCAGATCGGAATTGAATCATAATCCCATGTGGGGTGGGTGAGGGGTACTCGCATATGCACCATTTTTTGAAAGTTAACTATAGCTGGAGTAAAAAAGTGTATAAAAATCTTCGAATAACCAACATGTTGGCTTTCGTCGAGGTGTGCTATATTACTTATACTATCATCATTGGCATGAGCTTAATAACTCTTCAGCCGAATTATCAAAACTTAGATAAAGTTGCATTCGGCTGTTTTCCTTTTGTATGCCACCGTCGTGGAATTGAATACTTTATTTATTAGACGCGCGGAAAACAAAACAAAACGAGAGACTCCAACAGGAGAGACAAGCTTGGAATAACGCATTTACTCCTGGCCTAATAAAGAATTGGAAACTAAAAGTATTTAAAAACAAAGGAAATCGACGTAGTAGCTCCCCCCAGATATCGTGTAATTGGCCTCAATTCTTTTTCCACATATCCGCGTAACATAACGGTTTAGCAGAATGAATCGAGGATATTTTGTTCATCGCTTGACCGTTCTTTAATCTTGGGATCCTCATCACAGTTTCTTTCCCGATTGAATTTAAACGTATTGGGACATCCATCTAAATCCCTCTCCATACCCTATTTCCCGCAGATGTCAGTAAAGATTCAGGTCTTAAAAATCCGGATGGGGGTGGTAAGCACACCTTGCCTCATAACAACTGAGCACATGAAGACTTCAATGGGTCTTATTCCCTCCAATGGGATTTTGCCCTTTCCAGTGGTCTGATACAGTCCTAACTGGTGTCTCAAATCATCCTCGGAGATGGCCTCTGGATGATCGATCTTGTTACCAAGGATCAAGAATGGAACCTTAGACAGGTCCTCCATGGAAAGAAGAGCGTCAAGCTCGGCCTTAGATTCTGCAAGTCGCTCATGGTCTTTGGCGTCAACGAGAAATACAATCCCAGACACTTCCGGGAAATAGTCCTTCCAGAGACGTCGGGCTATAAAAAAGAACGATCGTCAGCGGAAAGAATCGAGAATGATGTAATAGCGCATCAGGGGAAAAAAGTAGAAGGGCTGTGTTGATAAGAACTGATGATGATGACAATATATTACTTCATCGCGAACCAAGTTTGAGCCGCAGGGCGCACAAGGAATACAAGAAATAACCGGAACGTCATTCAAGTATGACACCCGAACCAAGAAAAAAGAAAATCAACAACAGCACTTTCGGGCAAACGAGGAAGGGGATGCAAAACCGCGACCCCAATCGCGCAAAAATATATAAAGGGAGATTTATAATTACCTTGTTGATGTCCACCCAAATCAAATGTTGTGAACTTAACGTTACCGATAGCCAACTCCTCCGAGGCTGATCAAAACTGTCAGCGATAAATCCTGAAGTATGAATAAGAGGGAAATCTGCTCACTGGGATGTAAGGTTGGTTGCATGATAGCTACACGATCGTTCTAGGCACCGTCACCTAACGTCAGTTTCTCTCTTTCCAGAACACTCGGCCACCGTAGAATATTGTCCAAGGGCTAAAAACCTTCAACATGTGGAGCAGAGTCGTCTTTCCGGCATTGTCCAACCCGAGGAAAAGAAGCTTTGCATGCTTGTTCGTGAGCCCAAAAGATGCGAGAACATCCCAAACTACCACAACGTCAGACGATCAGGACAGCTTTCAATTGTGGAAGGCAACAAGATTTGCTTACACCAGTTTACAATCCACATGCTGATAGGCAATGAAACGAGTAATGCTACTATGCGAGGTTCTGTTGTACGTAGATGTGTAGGGCTGTAAGATATCGATTGATCGTATCTTAGGTGTTGAGGGTACGGTGGTGGTTGAGAGAACAGAGGCGAGCTTAGAAAGGAGCCTGCAGAGCAACAAGCAAAGGTGTCCGGAACGTGAATGTGTGTCACAAGCCACTTCTATTCCGGGATTCGAGTTCGGGCCACGCCGCAACCAAAATTCGCCAACTCACCCACGAACCAAAGTACCTATTGCCATGCAATGCGCAAATCCACCGACCAGGCCAAAAAACTGGCCAATACTCTACTTTCATCCATCCACAAGTTGTGCCGAGAAGAAACGCCACCAATATTCTAGGGAAAAACTTCTCCCTTTGATTTGATTGATTCCTATTTTCGATCCTATTCTCGAAGACTCTGCTCGTAGACAAGACAAGAAACCACCCCTTTTCCGTACCATTCCAGAACCCAGCCCATCTTTTAAAAAAGAAAAAAAAATAATAGAAAAAAAAAATGCTACAAATAAACCGCCCGCTAAAAAAGAAGTAATGTACCCGTCGTGTCATCATGATGAGGCGAAGAAAACGAAAGAACATAAAAACAATAACAAAAATGATTCCCATCATGTCTAATCGTACCAAATATTTACAGGAAAGGAACAAGTTCTTTACAAAGGGCTTTAAAAAAAAACTGCCCATGGTGGGAACGTAACTTTCGAAAGAAACAGCAAGCCCCGCTAGAAAAAAATAATTGAAAATCGGCACAGAAATTAATGAATCCTTTTGGATGAAGAGATGTAGATAGAGTAATAAAATGAATAGAAGAACTAAAATGGAGGGCCAGGTCAAGCAGAAATTACCCACTGCGCTTGTGTCCTGCCTTTCCCTTTACCACAGATCTCTAATCCAAGCTCCCTCATTTTCTCAACTCCTTGTCCAGCGCGGCAATCACCGTCTCTCACTTTACAGAGACGTTGCCTTCTCTCTCGCTTCTTCTCCAAACCTTTGACGATATCAATGGCACCCCGACGCCTGATGACAGGACTAACAGCAGAGGTATTAGGTGAGGTTCCGGTAGATGTGGTGCGACTACTCTTGCGATGCAAGAACCCAGGAATGCGCGGGAGAGACTTAGTCCGGTAGATACCCGGTTGCGACTGGAAGTTCATCGTAGGACGATGCTTAGGCGGTGGTGGAGACTGAATCCGACGTACTGGCGCCGGTGAGTGAGCGGCAGTACGTCGAACAGGTGCAGGTGAATGAGCCCTATTCTTCATTACAGGAGCAGGAGACATGTTCTTCCGAGTGGGGAGAACTTTCTCATTGCGTCGGCCCCTTCTTCGGTTGCCCTCAACTGAACTTCCACTCCAATTGGTCTTGAAGCGAAAGCCAGCCTCACTTTCATTAGATTTGGAATGATCCTCATCGTCCGAAAGTTCCGGATCGGAAGTTGGAAAACTAGGATCAATGTCTTGAGGGGTGGGGATATGCTTTGAGCGCTTCCGCTCCTCCATACACGAAACATACGCCTCTTCGAGCGGTTTGTCTTCGTCAAAAGTACCACAGACAAAATCTGTACTATCAGGCAACTCAGGAGTGCGAGGGCGACGCTCGAGGGGAGGGGTGATGCGAGGCCTCATCATTGATTCGATGGAAGACCCAGATGAAGCACGGCAACAAAGAGGGCGATTGATCTGCGGGGACATTGTGATGGGTCTGGATCCGTAATTGAAGAATTGGTCATCATCGTCGTCGTCGTCTGAAGCAAATCCCTCTTCGTTATCGCTTTCATTCCCACTCAATGCGTCGTGATCTTCATCATATTCATCGTCGTACTCATCGTCCATCTCCTCCTCATCCTCCTCCTCCTCCTCATCCTCATCATCCTGATCCGCGTCCTCTAAGTCTTGTTCTACCTCCTCCTCCTCCAGCGCCTCCTCTTCTACCTCTTGACTCAACTTTCGAATGTCCAACTCCTTCTTCAATAAGTCATCAACCTTCAGGAGACGACTTTTGTCAATGGGTTGGTTCGTCCAAGAGTCAGATCTATCATCGACTGAGCTGGCAAACTCGTAAAACTTGTGATCTGGGAAGTTTGTGGAGCGTTTCGGGATGGATGATGGTAGGACGGGTGTCTTCTGCGCGAATGGGCTAGTACATCTCGGCCCATAGGCTGATCGGGGTGGCGGGGAGCGGATTGTAGTCTTTTTTTCATCCTCTCCACGTTGGGCACATACGAACTTCAACATGCAGCCTTTCTTGGGGGCAGCATCTGAATCGGTTCCTGACGCCTCTACCGGTGCCGGCCGTACTGGTGTGGGCTTCTGGGGAGTAAGCTTGTCTGAACATGCAAATGTGATGCATCTCTTTCTTCCCGAACTTTCGACAGCCTCATCAACAACCTCAACCTTTTGATCCTTTGTTTCCATCTGGTCCTTTTTGCTGAGGAGTAGGTTGGCAAATCCCTGAAAGAAAAGGGGCGGCGGCGGACTTGGAGTGCTGCAGCGAGAAGGGCTGGTCATGCCCTCATCGCTTGTCAGGTCCGCTGTCGAGATACTGGTGTTGCTCCAGGTTGAATCAGTGGACATGCCCCTCTTGGGGTTTCCTCGATACCGATTTACAGGAATCGACTCGGGAGTGGTGAGGAGTGCACGTGTGAGAAGTGATTCTGTAGTGTGTGGGTGGCGAACTATGTGCTTGATGAACTCTCTACCCTCAGAACGGTACGGGTACTGTAAATCCGGGGGCTCATCTGCTTCGTCCGCGAGCTCTTCGTCGCACGATGACGGAAGATTTGTCGCATTCGAAGTGAGCAGGTTCTGCATTTGCAGGAGTAGTTGTGGGACGAAAGCGGTGTATCTGTGTTCTGGCATGGTGAAGGCGAATGTGGGATTATATGGCTGAAAGAATTCTTGATTACGTGATCTGCTGTGGAAAATACTACAAGATCAAATGCCACTGACAGTGCCGGATAAACCTGATGTAATGAGGTAACCCAATGAAGAGCCGGGCTGTGCTGTAGTAGAACACCGGGATGCTTATCGGAATGAGATAGATAAAAGTATGAGTGCTGAACGACGGATATATGTATCGATGCTGAAGGTAAGAAATAATTCGAAAATCTTGAACAGCCCTATTCACAGCTTGTGGGAACCGGGAAAGATTTATACAGTGTGGTAGTGGGTGTGTCAAGTTGCGTGTTAGTGTCGATCGAGATGGACAGGATCCCACGAATGGCAGAAAGTAGGCGTGGGGGGATGTGTTCAGAAAATATATGGGGATATCAAAGCAGAAGCCTCAATCAGGAGGAGTCGTCTCGACAGGAGGCGTTGGTTATAGCTCTATATGCGCCATGATGGAAATATCAATGAAGCCCAAGTAGAAGAGGTACGGGCGAAGACAAGCAGGCTAAAGACTCGAGTCTCGCTTCAGATCAGAGGGGAGAGACGTTCTTCAAATGGGAGAGGCGTATGTTAAAGCACTGCCTGCCGATAAACGAACAACAACAAAGGGTTCGAATTATCTTGGCTACAGCCGAGAGCCGCAAGGGAACGAACGAATAGTGGTAAGCTTGCGAAAAAGGGTGAGAGTCCGGGAGTTTCCTGACTTTCTTGGAAGCAAGGGGAACGCGGACAGGAGACGAATTTAAGGGGAGCAAGACAGATTCCAAGCCCAGCGCAGCGCACAGTTTAATTATGATTCGGTGAAGGTGGGGGGCAGGATCGAGGTCAACGGGGAGGGGGGGACTAAGAACTAAGGACTTGCAAGGAGAAAGGGAAAGACTAGGGCTGGCAGGGCAGGCAACTACGACCGGAACGCCAGAAGCATCCCTAGGATGTACTCTATGGTCTACCATCTCCACTCCCACTTTGCTCTTACCAGTCTTTGCTCTTTGCTCTACCGAACAGTGGTTGCCGGAAAACAAGACACAGGGCGAACGGAGAAGAGCCGGTAAATAAGTTCTTCAGTTGGTTATTAAACCCAAAAGCAAAGACAGAAAAATAAAATGGGTTTAGTTCTCAACGAAAAGCTCCAACAAAAATGTATTTATCTTCACGGGTATTGTAGGCATCAGGTTCTCGTTTGCTCTCAGCATTATTCCTTCTTCTAGTTGGTCGCCACGCCTTTTTGGCCGCTGTTGTCATGACAAAAAGAAATAAAATCTCGAAAAGGGCGGCGTTGGAGTTATTGGTCTCCACTTCATCCCCCCCCGCTGCGCGTAGTCGTCCACTAGAGATCCTGCCCACACCCCTGGTGGGCGAGAAGAGAGAGAGAGAGAGGCCATCAGCAGCACACAAACCCAGCTGAACCCTGTTGTTCGTCGTCATAAGGCGAGCCAGCCGAGTGCAGAGGCTTTTGGTCGCTGCCGCCGGACATTCCACACGCTGCTCTTCGCAAGTCCTTCTCCGCCATGCGATGGATGTGTGACCCCGCCTCTTACAAAAAAAAAAATCTGTTTGTTCATCTTGCAACGAGTGGTGACTGAGAAAAGTTCGGATGGAGTGAGCACCACCAAGATAAAATCCGGTCGAGATGATGGAGGTGCGCCGGGATTCTGGATTTGGTCGTTCATGCCGATTTTACTACCATCCATCCATCCATCATCTCCACTTCTCATCCCCGTTTTTCATAACATCATTAATCAAGTCTCTTTTTGTGTACGTGTGTTTTGATTTCCGTTTTCGATTTCTCTTTGTCTAGAGGAATTGGTTGGGCTGTGTACCTCCTTCCTCAGTTCATAGTTAGAGTACCTATTAATCGGTACATTGCTTGAACTGATCAGGAAAATGAGATGTCGATTGATAGGTACACCTAGGTACATACCTACCTATGTACTCTACTGTAGGTACATACATTGTCACTCGCATGGAACATGGGTCGGTCAGCTTATCCAAGAGAGCAATAAGCTAAAAAGAGGCCGCCTACGACGAGGGTTTCTTTTTTGTTAAGGCTCAAAACTCCGCGGCCATGGGCTTGTGTGTTCACTGTCGTGTGTTCAGCAGTGGCATGGGAAATCCGCTCATCTAGAGCTTCACCATAGGTACTAGAGTAGATCGTCGGTGTGAGGAAGCGTATGGATACGAAGCCATGAGAAGCCGCCGTACCAAAAACTACCTAACCTAGGTAGAGCCCATAAAAGCATCCACGAGGAATTTGGTCCCATTTCGGGGCTTGAGCTTATGCCTTCTACTCAGCACACCTATTAACTCTACATGTAATAATATGTAGAGTAACGCCATAGTAGGGAATCGAAAATCAAAAAGAACTCCTGTTGCTTAACCGATCCCGTTTGGTGAGATAGCACTTGGTATTCAGATGATAATATGTGGAGTGGACATTCAATCTGTAACCCGACGGGCTAATGGGCCAATCCCCGCCGAGAAAAACACGATCACGAGAGGGAACATGTTGTGGAAAGTGTCATCAGATACTGTTGTACTCGATAAACACAGGTCCACACTCATTTCTGGAGTCAAAACCGTATTAAAGTGCGGGGCCGGAATATTCCCTTGCAGCGATTTCGATAGATTGGCTCGGGGCGCAGCGGTGAGGACGTTCCTTGGAAGCAACACAGAGATCTCTCATCTTCCAACCCCTCATTTTGCTTCTATTCCAACCTCCAGATTCAGTGTAGAGTTCTCATAGAATAATGAAGCAAAAGTGCAGGTACAAAGTTTCAGGCCAGTTATTCTAGGTACATTATCGTGTACCTAGAGTACTTTAACAGCAAATCTCTGAATGATAATAATCAAAATAGTAATATTTGCCCATTTTAGTTTGAACTGCCGACCCGTGTCCAGCAACTTCTCATCGTAGAAAATCCCCGGTTCCGACTATGCTGTACTTGCTGTAGCTTGTGAATAATAGAGTGGCACATCTTTGTTGACCGCCCCAGAAGCCACGGGCGGGTTAGGGTTTGGTGAAGGGAGACACAAAACGCAGTCATGGTCCAGGTTTTCTCACGGTAAAAACCTCCTTGCCAATCGTGTCAGACCCGTTTCCAATTTTCTTGGACCCTTTTCCCGAGTTCCAGACGGGGGATGTCTTTTGTTGCTGCACGATCATGTCGAGTAGGTAGCGAGAGTCTAGAGAGGAAGGACCCTGGTGATCAGATCATCCAAAAGGCCCCAGACATTCAAGTTAGGTAAACCATAGTAACGAAATTTATTCGCGCTTCTAAAGAAACTTATTAGCTAACCGCGTCTCACAGGTTTAAGCCTTTTACTCGAGGCGAGAAGAGATAGTCGCGCTCCGGTAGCCGTCCATAGTGTAATAGTGAAACTTTACTATCAATTTGTGCAGCGCACGAGTAGAGAAGGCATGTTGCCGCCGCCAGGCATCTCGTTGCCGTACTTTAGAGTGCAACCATCTTTTCTTCTTTTCATAAAATTTATTTTGTCTCCATTCTTTTCTTTTTCTCCTGACCTAAACTATTTGTAAGGTACCTAGAGCGGCAACGAAGTTGTCTTCCACAAGGGGAAAAAAAAAAAAAAAAAGCACTATCAGTGTTGGGTAGGTGTCGGATTAGTTATGACATTTGTTTCCATTTTTTTTTGTGATGCAGTCGTAATTTCTTCTAACCTTGGCCAGTTAAAGTAAGAAACGTTTCTTGACTGTGCTGGTCGAGCTAGAGACAAATCTCTACTATGAAAGGCGGGAATCATCAAGCCACCGCACACAGCACACAGCATCCGGCCGTTTGACAAAGCATTGGTTTTATTTGCCCGCACATTTCTCGCCATCGCATGAACCCGGCCGTAGTAAAATTTTACCCCCGCACAATAGATTTTACTCAATATCTACCCCGCCATATCCATACACTTCACCTTAGATCTTCGGTTTTAGCGTGCAGGAGATTTTCACCGACAATATATTTTTCCTCATCCTCAAATGACGTCTTTTCTTCCCCATCTGAAACGGCTGAAAATCCGCTGTATCGTTTCTCTAGTTGATAAAAGGAAGAGATCTCCGGGTACGAGTACCGCTACCTATATCACATCTCCGGAAATTTCAACCCGAATCTCAGGTAACTTATCTAACGTGGAGTTTGACCTCGTGGTCATCGTGAACCCTGAATAAAACGGTCCAATGGATAACAAGTTGTGACCATATGTTGTGTTGTTGGGTATATAAAACCCCACCAGCTTTTGGTTGGCGTTATATCAAACAACGATTATTAGAAGAGTAGATTCCAAGTGCCGTATGAAGTCCCTTTTCTTTTCCTGTTTTTGTTCTTCTCATGTGAGTACATGTTTGAGATATGGCGGGGAACCTTGAGTTCCAAACCGAGCCTATGTAACTCGTCATTGTGTACCGTATGGCCGGAATCACCCCACGGAAAGCTTTTCGCTAAAGCAAACGTTTGTCTCCAAGAAAAAGCATTGAAAGAAACAAGAAAAAAATAGATTCCTTCTTCGTGACCTTTAGTAAAAGGCGGATTTTATCTCGTGCTGTGCAGAAGCGAAACTGACCTGTCATATTAGTCGAAAAAGCAATCAATCGGGCAACCAAAATACTGTGCCTTTTAACACAGCCGCAGAGATAGATCTCCCACTGCTTTGGCAACCGAAATCCGCGAGACCTTCGTAGTTCTCCGATACATACCTTCTGGTGCGATCCGTAACCTCTACGCTCACCTTGAACGATGTTGAAAGATAGGATATCTCACGCGTGAGGTGCAGAGAGCCATCGAGGTGCCCTGAAAACGGTTGAGGCTTTCCGATCCTGGAACGAGCAACCACACAATCATCAGCGGCCAGAACAGTTGACATTCCGAAGCTGATGGTGATGAAACATGTCCGGATAATGTGTTTTGTTTTGCGAAAACAAACCGCTAAGACAGCCGATCCAGCCGCGGGTCGCCGGCATTGCATGAAGTTCGTGTGAAATGTAGAGTAAACGCCGAGGCCCGCCGAGGCCCGCTGAAACCCGCAGCTGGCAAAGTGCTTGTTGCCGTCGCCGAACCACAGTCCCACTACTTCACTTTTTTTTGCAGAATAGACTCGGAAAACCATCTCTCGAAAAGTCATGTCGTCATGTCTTATGTCGACATGTCAGCCAGCGACGTTTCTTTTCTTTTCTGAATGACCCTGGGGTATTTGATAATCTAGCACGGGGGTAAGTCAGGTGCTTGATGCCCTCGACGTTAGGATATCTGAATAGTTGCGTTAGCATTGGTTCTCAAAGACCGTTATTGGTGACCTTTACCCCTCTCCCAAAAAGGGTGATCCCTTGTAAAGACGCCCAAATAATACGTGTTGGCGTAGGTAGTGAGCTTTTCTTACTCTACTCTCCTTCTTTCTTTCTTTTTCATCATACTTCTACTGCAAACGTATCTAGATATCATTCGACACTGGAGCGCTCTGTACCTACTCATTCACCAGGTACCTGCAGACCCATGATGTTATCCTGCACCCTGCTGATGATGATAAAGGCTTCTTGATAAGCGCTTATCATCTGAGGTATCTTTAATAAGCTGATCTGCCCTTATTTCTGACGGAGCAATTGCAAACTCGTTGTTTCGGCTCTCGTGAGAAAAACTATGGCATCGAGTGCCGAGTTCGTCTTGTTTTGTCTTGTTCGTGAAACGTACCGTAGGTACAGGCAAGTTGACGGGCGTTGAGTGAATCTGCAGGCACTTGGGAACTGGCTTTTGCATATGCAGTCTGAATGGCGATGGGCGAAAGAGGTAAGCCAGCTCATGAAGTTTACATACATACCCACACGAGCCTTGGCGTAGAGGACAAAGCTTTGAGCCGGGACCCCCATTACTATCGTTAGAGACATATTATCTGTTACGAATTGTGATTTGCTACAACCTTCGCCTGTTATTTGGGGATACATGTTCCCGGGATGGGGCTCTCTAGTTCCGGCAGTGGCGGTGAGAGACATCTGGTAGCGGTGAACACGAATAGTGGCTGAAAAACTGGTTCTAGTGCACATGTTTTTAGACTACATTCTGGCATAAACGGGTTTCAAAATTACAGTCGGTACGAAAGGACACGATTTTATCAAATATATATCGCAGCATTGATGCCGTACCAATAGCATGGGACACGAGTGCGAGTGCATTACTGAGTCTTCCTAGGTTTCAAATTCCAGTTGAGTTTGGTATTTGATCCTCAATGGCGCTACGGCGCTACTGTAAGATCACCCTCGCGAATTTTTTGTACGTACACACATGGAATCGCCAGTAGATCTATCTATATGTAGGTGCTCTAGAGTACCTTGCGGATGTGTCTTTTTAAGAACGGAAGAATTAACCATTCCTAGGATCATGTCTGGTTAAACACTGCATGTAAAACATAGTTTTGAAATCCATGAATGCATCAATCCCTATGCTCTAGACTCTACCACATGTATGACCACACATAAGCAATACCGACTGTCCTAGGAGCTCAGACAAGCTCTCTATCCGAGTCCTTGCTGATATATGTCAATGATGTTGTGTTGCTTGGCAGCATTCCAACCCGAAAGAAAAAACAATATCATTGACACCTTTGAGCTGCATCCATTAAGATTATTTGGGTGATTCTAGATTAGTTCCACGGCCCTGGGCGCGATATCATCTGTATCCAGGAAGGCCAATTGGACTGGCTTAAACCTCATCCGCGGAACAGGCAGAGGTTTTGGCCGGAACGCCCGACAAGGATCATGGAATAAACAAAACGTTCTGCGGGCTGTTGCTTTCTGCTTGCCACACATAAAGTGCCTACATAAAGTAGAAAAAACAAGCCTATAGTAGATAGGGGCATGGGGAATTCGCCAGCTAGGCATTCTCTTTCTCTCTGCTCTACCTACTTGTATGTAGGTACCTACATGTATTTTTCTTCTTCTTTTGACTGCTGCTCAACCTTCCACAAGGGGAGGCTCAGAAAGTCGCTTCCGGTGTATCCATTCGGATAATCCGGCCGGATCTAGTTATGCACTCCGGACTTCTCACTTGAGAGTGTTATGCAGCTGCACATACGTAAACTAGAAACTCTAGGGTTGAGTTCAGTAAGGTTCCTTTTTTCATCTCCACATAGATTCAAGTTGGCATCTGGAGCCTAAGTAATCTCTCATTCTGTCAAATATTGCTCAAATAAATCAAATGAATATGCGGCGCCAATGGATCAAAAGGATCTTCGGGTAGTTACCAAGTTAACTGTTGTTGACGTGCATACCCGTTCTCGTGGTGTTGGGACTGCAGGATCCAGAGTAGAGTATCGTGCGCAGTACATAGACGACAAAGTTCTAGATTACTCTGCCTTCTATGCATGAGTACGCGACACCAGCTGTACCTGCTGTAGGGCTTAGCAATTAAGCATTGAGACATCGTGAGATCGCGATCATCTGTTCCTGAACAACATCGATCTTCTGTTCCTGAGTGATTGCCGGTGAATTGCCAAAAGCAAATTACTATATGTACATGTATTTACGATCGCATATGTACCTTTTTATGTCGGATGCCATGATTAGGGGAACGTCGGAGCAGTTCATACGAAATTTTGTCGGTTAGCTGTTTTAACATTTTGTTTGTTACATCATTTATTGTATGCAGCGCTGTTTCAGCATTTGTCTTGCATGTCTGGTGCGAATACGATTTTTTTCCAGGTTGAAAAGAGCTGACCGATAGGATTCATTTATGTCGTGATTATCACTCGATTCTCGGACATCAATTCCATCCAATAGATCCCGTTGCCGGAAGGCAGGGAATTTCTTGAATTATATCTGGGCTAGTTATTGCATATATAGTATTAAAAAGTGTAAAGGAATGAATATGACAACAAATGACCGGAGCTGAGTCAAATACGAAACTAAATTAGTATTATAGCAGTAATACTATACATAGCAATACTGTAGCCGGCCTAACACAGTATTATGCAAGATGATGAAGCGGTTTCATTAGCTAGTAATTTTTGAGATGGGTCATTTATTTTGAGATACCAAGCTTAAGTGCTATATGTCTAACTGAGTGATTCGTACAACATAGTAGATCTAGAAACACGATATGATAATTGACATATACAGCAGAGCATAGGGATGGAACTTAGCAACTCTTCTGTATGAGTTTTACAAGCAAGCCGGATTGCTTGTGAATCCAGTTGTTATGTAGCGTCCATTCTTTTTCGGGATATGCCAGTTCAATCTGCATGAAATCAGTACGGCCGATAATCCCTAGGCCTAATACTCATCAAGGCTTCGGATTTCAAAAGGAAGGTGGGTATCACTCACATGAAAGGTTCTTAAAAGCTGAGGAATTACTTTATACATTTCCAAATAAGAGATGTTTTTCCCAATACAGGCCCTGCTTCCTCCTCCGAACTGTTTGAAACATTTTAGCTTTTTGAAGTAACAGATGGCCAAAATGAGGAGAATTCGAATTCTCTATTTATAAGGGAAACATACCGCAAAAGCAGCTCTATCCATTCTCTTCCTTGATATCTCGTCTGCCTCCAACCATCTTTCTGGTCTCCAGAGCTCTGCATCGGCACCATAAACATCTTTATCCCTTTGAACGACCCAAGGATTTATTCCAACAATAGTGCCCTCTTCAAAGAACCTGCCACAGATATCCTTACCACCTTTTGGCACAACGCGTTCAAGGAGCATCGATGGAGCCGGGTGGATTCTTAGAGCTTCTTTGATGCACGCCTCAAGATACGGCATTTTCCTTGCTTCAGTCCAACTAACAGGATTACTCAATCCTTCAAAGCTATTTATTTCAGAAAGAAGTTTTTCCATTGAGCTAGGGTTCTTGAGAAGGTGATAGAATAATGCACGCAAGGAGATTGCTGTTGTATCCGAACCAGCATATGTGTTGCTGCTGGCCCAGCCAAGGATGTGAGCTGGGGTAATCTTTTCTGGGTCGGCCTTATGTGCTTCGATCATTCTCGCGAGCATATCTTGTTTTCGTAGATTGCCTTTCTCCATCTCGCGCAGCTGTTCAGGTTTCTCGGGATCAGGCTCTACCATGCGTTCAGCCATACAATCAAGGGTGAACGCTGCAACTGCTGAAGTGGGAGGATTGAAGTAATTCCAGATGGGGTTCTTTTCTAATAATGTATCCAACCAAGGCATTTGACCGACCTAGGTTGGTTTTGTGTTAGTTCAAGCCATTCTGGACTAAGAATATCAATCGAAAAGGTCACATACAACACCCGCGTAGTCAAAAGACTTATCAATTGACCTCATGATGCCATCTACATCCTTCGCTTGATCAAGAAATCCCAGCCGTTTCGAATATGTAAGTTCTCCAACAACATCGAATGCATAATATTGTAACCATTCCCCCAAATCACATATATCTCCAGTATTCGCATAGAGCTCCGTAAGTCTGGAAGTGAAAAACTTTGATGTTGAGTCCACGTACGGCTCATACTCCATCAAATGGGACATTGCGAAAGCATGGCTGATTGGCTTTCTCATCGACTATATATACAATAGAGGATATCAACACGTAATTTAGTATCAAATCGTCGAAGAACCAGGGTGGTTGAATATACCTGATGATACAATTCATCTTGAGTATCAAACATTGACTGTATCGTTTTACCGTTCGAAAGGACAAAAAAGACCTTGTAAAGGGGGGACTGAGCAATTTTAAATCAGTATCCCAAACCATTATTTGTTAGAAATACAGGGAGAGAAAAACACCTTAACGAATCCTTTATTGATTGTGTAGATCACCTGTATTGCTTCTGGATCTGATATAGAAACTATGTTGGGACCGTACCGAACGAACTTTCCATATTTCTCGTGAAGTGCCAGTTGATTATCTTGACATTTCCAGCTCCAAGCGTCGAAAAATCTGTACAAATTTGTGATAGAGGCCAGGAACGGGCCAGATATTGATCGGAGACCCGAGCGATAGCGCTGTTTAAGAAAATAGAGACATATTATGAAAAGACCGATACTAGCAAGAATCCCCGGAGTAAATATGGGATAAGATAAGATGGTCGAAGTTACGGCCATTCTGAATTATGTATTTATTGCGAGTCCTTCACCCGTGATGAAGGTGATGAAGAGGTGTGTAGTGGTGGGTGACTGATAACAGGAGATATTAGAGTTTATGTACTCAAAGGCCACGACTGGTGTTACAATAGTCTCAAAGAGCGCCCTTAAAATATACTTTGAGTAAAAACTGGTCCAAGGCTTATAGGTGCAGATAACCTCTATTTAGACGACGAGGCTACGGGGTCGACACACAAAGATGAAGTCGATGGCGAAGCCAGACATTTCGAAAGCCACGGGGTGCACACCATAATATGGTGTTCAAATTGTTTTACCGCCTATTTTCCAGCCAATAAAAAGGTGTACACTAAGGTCGAAGCGAGCTCGTGATGGAGCGAATATTCACCTGGACATCAGGTATGTATCTGCATGGATATCAAAGGAGATGTAGTTATTTTCGGAGTCGATTCTGTAAGAGGTTTTGGCGCTTCATGTAGAGATAACTCCTCGCATACACCAGT